ATTTGATAGTTCTGAAACGCAGAGAGAAAGTTTAGCTGTCTCGAATAATCTAATATGATTTAAATTATAATAGAATAATGAAAATTGAGTTCCGTACTATTTAGTGATAAGTATTTAATTTTTATTAAACTGCACTTAGAAAAATATGCAGTTTGTCTGCATTGAAAATGGGCTGATTAACGTAGGACAAAAACCAACTGTTTTTAAGATAACTACTTCGAATGCATAATACAGTATCTTGCATTGTCTCTGTTAACGTATTTATAGTTTCAAAATTACTCCTTACATTTTCATTTTAAAGTAGTGTATTCAATGAGGCACGACTAATGGGATTTATTTGCAGGGTTGACCCAGCCATTGTCTCTTTTAATCCGTATAATTAGGGGATTAGTTCCTTGCATGGGTAGGACCGAGGCGCGCAAGGTACCTCTGCGCTCCTTGGTCCTACCCCTACGGATTTTATTTATGACCTCCCATTAGATCAGGTATTGTGCGCTCCTCGGTCCGCGAATCATTTGCCATCCGCACCCTTGCAAATTCGACGAAATCTGATGTCCTACTTTCCGCCTATTATGGCCTTATTTTCCCACATCTTACCTATGCCTTGCCCATATGGGGGTATGAGAATAAGTGGACCTTATTTCTATTCCGTTTGCAGAAGCGGGCAATTAGAGCTATATTTTCTTTAAAAAGACGACAAACCTGCAAACCATTTTTTCAAACTGCAAACATCTTAACGTTTCCATCACTTTACATCTACAAAACCTTGTCATTCCTAAAACAAAACATCGACAAGTTCAACAATCCCCATAACCATGCTTACAATTTAAGAACTTCTTTCTTATAATCTTCCAGTCCCTGTCCACTGTACAACCTTTTTTCAATAAAATCTCCGTTACAATGCAGTAAATATCTTTAACCACCTTACAACGCATCTAAAGGCAGAGTCAGACCATCTGAAATTCAAAAGAAAGTTAAAATCTTTTCTATTAAATAAATGCTACTACAGCGTCCGTGACTTCCTGACTGACGGCTAGAATCTTGATAATTTTCCTTTAGACAGAATGATTTGTAAAAAGTATGTTTAAGTTAATTTTATTATTTTAAGTTTAATTCCAATGCATATTATTTTATTTTGACCTAACCTATATATGTAATTGTGTCTACTTGGTTCAATAAACGAGTTATGGAGTTATTGAGTTATTAAAAAGTTAATAAACAGGGTGCAGCACTATTATTTTTTTTATTTATGACAACAGCTAATTTGCAACCAAAATGTGAGTGAGCGTAGCGAACGAACTTCAACCCGGAGGCGAGTTAGCGTAGCGAACGAGCTAACTTGAAGGCAAGTGAGCGGTGAGTGAGCGTAGCGAACGAACTGCAACCAGGACGTGATTGAGCTATGCGAACAAATTTTATATGTTTAGGTCAATCTGTAGATTTTTTTATCTATATATTATGCTCTGATAAGTTCAAAAATCGTGTATGGCATTGAGGTGTGGGGAGGAGCATATTACTCAAACCTTAAACCAACAATAACCATACAGAAGTATTTTGTCCGCATAAATCCAACAAAACAAAGTTCGAGCACTCTGGACAATTGTTTAAAGATTTAAAAATTCTTACATTTACAAATTTGTATATATCTTTTTAAGTTTTAAAAGCTTTCTTACTTTCTTTGATAAAAGTGGGAAAGACCGACAAAACATAGGATCTCGCCCATGTAGCACAGATGGTTGGGCCAACGTTGGTAAATTGTGGAGCCACACAGTTGGCCAACGGTAGAAATGTCACCTCTTTAAACTGTTTTCCAGCCAACCATTGTCCAACCGTTTTATTTCACACAAAATAATAAAGATTTAGTACGAAAAGCATAATTATTAGTTGAGTAAATTGATTAAATAGTTCATAAAAACAAATTTTGAAAAAAAACTAGAAAAAAATTGTTTTGGCCCAGACGGGTCTCTAACCCGGGTCCTTCGACTTATGAGCCTCTTACTTAACCACTGAGCTATCTGTGATTGCTGATATAGAGAGTTTTCAAGTGGTGAAAGAGTAGCCGACAGTTGCAATGGTCGCAATACTTCAAACATTTTTAATACTACACAGTATAATATGATTCTGTTAATCTGTTAAGGCATCATAAGTAGTTTTTTTTTTGGAGTTAGAGAGGATACTGGTATTTGAATGATTAATTAATTACCGTTAGATTGTTAATGCTATTATAATTGCCTGTTATATGATTAATTACTCTTTCCCCTTAAATTGTTGCAAATAAGTTAAAGAATATTAATTTAAAAAATATTTGCATTATTAAAATTATTAAAATTCATTGTTGTAGCGCCGGAACTGTAATATATAAAATATCTGGTTTTACAATACCTTTATCAGTTCCAAAAACTTTTGGAAACTTTTGGAACTGATAAAGGTATAGTAAAACCAGATATTTTATTATAATTATGTTGTGAAAGCTAGACCCAGAGAATGAAAGTCGTGTAAACTCAACTATGGACCATTGTTGGTCCAACAAAAGTATCTTTTGTTGGTCCAACGGAGTGAAAAACGGTTGGACAACGGTTGGCTTGATGTATGATACCCAGCAATGCATATTAATGTATTTCATTAACAATGAACCAATGTTGGTCCACAGTTGTAAATATTGGTTGGCCCAACTACGAGATATACAGTTGGACAACGGTTGGTTGGTTGTGGAAGCTCCAACCAACCATCGACCAACTGTCCCACAGTTGGCCAACGTTGGCCCAACCATCTGTGCTACATGGGCGGGCGTTGACCCTTCGAAGAGGTTTCAATGTGTCAGTCCCTAAGCCGAATTCAACAGCTTTCAAACACTTTTATCTTAATTTTGCTCCAACTTTCTTTAACTACCTGCCAATTGATATAAAAACGTGTTTCAATAGAAGACGATTTTTTATCTCACAATTTTTTTCCATCCTCCAACGATCCTAATGCATATAATCGAAATTTTTGCCAAGTTTATCAATGACGTGTATCCATTTCCCAATTCATCGCATTTTATTTCTATATCTTATTGATCAACATATTACTTCTAAACCACATAGTTTTTATATCCTAATTGCATCTAGTTACTCTCCCTTGTTAGTCGTACAGTTTTCCCCATATATAAGGCCTAATGTATTTAGGCCTATTTTAACAATGGAGCTTAGTAATATTATTTTTTTAGAATAGCTTTAGAGTGTATCATTTATTGATGTCGGTGATCTCATCTTTTGAGCTGTTTTATATGTATATGTACGTAATAGAACATCCCAAGCAGGTCTTTGACCTAGGGATGAATTGTTTCATCGTAAAATAATTCCCAAAAGTGTAAGTTAGTTAATCTAAGTTATTCTTACTTTACTCTGTGTGTAAAGCTTTGTAAATCAATATATGAAACAATAACGACGTTTCTGATATCTGATTTTCTTTTAGCGAATTTCCCATATAGGGAATAAGCTATTACCGTAGTACTCATGGTAAGACCTGGACCCGGGACCGATTAATTTTTTCGTTTTGAGGTCCCTAGAGGCCAAAAACACCATCAGTTCATATTCATATATATATATATATATATATGTGTGTGTGTGTGTGTGTGTGTGTACGTGTGTGTCCGTTAGCACGATAATTCGAGCAAAAATGATTCGATTTTGATGAAATTTGGTACAAACGTGTAAACCTACGTTTATTCGAACGAGTTCGCGATCCAGCATGATCGGACCATGGGAACAGGGGTTTACGGGGGTTTTATGGGGTAAAAATGGGTTTTTCCCATTTTTGACCCAAAAAACATAAAATTTAGTAATTTCTTTCCAAACCATTTTGTAGAGCTTAAAAAAACAAATAATTTAGTATATTGAAGTGTTATTATGCGCCTAATAGTTACGGAGAAAATCCAAAAAAATTGTAAATTTAAAATTCCCATGTTATTTTTAAAGAGAATAAGTAAACTGTTGTAGTTTGCTTGTTTATGAACATATTTTGATCAAATTTGGAAAATGTTTTTATTTCTTACAAACCTATTAACATAAAAAACACCTTTTTACCCTCCCTGTTGCAGCAAACCTAAGTAGGCCTACTCGTTTAACTAATTCTATTTAAATAGGGAATAAATATGATATTTTTAAGGAGACATTTTAGTGTAAATCCTATCAGGCTAATGGAAATTTGCTTAGTCTGCAGGTTTGCTGCGGCGGGGGTATTTTCTGTATTAATTTAGTAAAATATAATAACAGTTGCTTCATTAATCACCACGATAATCACTGGTTTTGAATAACTGTAGGTAACATATGTTTTATCGGAACTACTTTCTTGGTCAAAATCAGAGGACGAATTTAGCAAAGAAAGAATTTACAGAAGGCGTAGGCCTAATCCATTCCAGCCTTGTTGGTGAATAAAGGTTTGGGATGAATAACCTCTACATCGCCGCAATTTAGATGAATTTTGAAAACAGCCGGTTTCTCTATAGTATAACACCCGCTGAAGAAAATCTGCAGATTAAGCCCTATTTAAACTATCGGGTTTTAAATTAAACTTTTCTTTAAACATATTAGATAATTGGTCCCTATTTGAATAACATTAGGTTTAATCGGATGATGTTCACTCGAGTTATCATTCTAACGGACACATACACACGTATATTTTTGTATATGAATTTTTTTATGAATTTTAACAGATTGTGTTTTTGGTTGGAATGAAAAATTAAATTGGTCCCGAGTCTAATTCTTACCATGAGACCTGCGGTAATTCGCTAAACCAATGTATTTATCTACTTCACGACTTTAACTGGCAAAAGCTGCATTATCGTTTAGCTAACAATAGGGGTGATTCAACACACCGTACTCCAGAGGAACCCCCTACACCGGTAGGCCTACCACCGCCGCCGCCGGCTCTACGACTCCCACGGCGTCAATGATGCCCCATTATCTCTCATCTTTCCGCCGCTGGGTCGACCTCGTCCTTGCAGAAGTGCTGGTGGAGGTGGAGAGTATAAGACCATCAGGGTGTCTTCCTCGGCAGTAGTGGCTAGTGACGTCAACATGTGGTTAAAGGATTGCCTTTTAGCGGTAGGTGACCTATTTTTTTTATTTTTCATAGAAACTACTTGGTAGGTCAAAGGTAAAACTAGAGCGACCTTCGGTGAAGTAGTCCGAAATAGCTTTGGATTGGTTAGCTTTGGTAGGCTGCTCAAAAACTTTATATCGAGTTTGCTTGTCAACAAGTGTATTGGGTTAACAAAATAAGCAACTATATTATCTTGAATCCATGTTAAACGTGGTTTTCTAACAACTTCAACTTTGAAGTTGCAATTTGGGCTAAACACATATAAAGTAGATGTACCTGAAATCCCTGAAATGGCACGTGCCCGAATTTTATCAAATCAGAAGTATGTTTCTCTTTACTACTATTTGATTTCCGTGCTAAAGCCTCCCCTGTGTTACGCTAGTGCTTTTCATTAGGATGTCGGCACAAAGTTTTTAATAATATTTAAATTAAATTACAAAAAACACAACCCATTTTTACGGTTATAATTATAGACATTCGGTCAGTGACATCATTTGTTTATGTTTATCATCCATACAGTTTCTTTATAATATTCGTGGATGTCATCTTTAATGTAAGCATAGGTTCATATGCACATCAGTTTAAAGGTCTGGTCAAGTGGAGTTCATTGCCGGAAACCGCGTCTCAAAAGGTTCATCCGTTACAAAATGGCGGCAGTACAAAGTTCTTGCGGAAAATGCCTGCACAGGCCTTAGTATTGGTCCGGGAAAGCTGAAACCCAGTTTAATTTGTTTTGAAGATTGAATAATATTAGTCTATGAGTTACATGACTTTAAAATACAATTTCAGCTCTCAGCTAATGATCAGACCAATACTAAGGCCTGTGCAGGTATATTCCACAAGACTTTGGACTGCCGCCATTTTGTAACAGATGAACCTTTTGAGACGCGGTTTCCGACAATGAACTCCACTTGACTAACCCTTTAAAATTATGTGCATATCGGCCTATGCTTCCTTTGAAGATTATGTACATACTCCTCATGGGCCGTCGCCTGGTGTAGGTAAAAAAAATGGCAATGCTTGCAAAAAGTTGTTTTCATACAATATAAGTTTATGTGAAAGGTTTGAATTTTCTAACGAATTTATTTAAAAAGATATCAAGCCGTTTCCAAATTTTTTGTCATCCTGTATATACTGTATATATAATATGAATTAGAACGGATGGTGTTTTTGGCCTCTAGGGACCTTAAAACGAAAAAGTAAATCGGTTTCGGGTCCAGGTCTTACCATGAGTACTACGCTAATAGCTTATTCCCTACATGGGAAATTTTCTGAAAACTAAGTTTCATTTATACCCCATTAATAATGGTTTCATTTAACCTACTTATAAAATAACTGCGAGATAAAAACTATTGTAAAACGAAAATATTTATCTCTTTGCCAAACAATTAAAACATATTACATAATGTATTTTAATGTATTTTAGATTTTAAATTTACTCTAGGCCTAATAGGAAAATATTTTTGTACAATTTATAACTTGTTTAGGCAGGTTCGTTCTTGTCTGGGTCCTTCCCCTTGGTCTTTTGAGGGAGAAGGATTGGACCTACAGATGGAGCCGAAACCTGGAAAAGTTCAAACTGTAATATTAATTTTTTTAAAGTAAAGGAATGCACGCAATACACTTTTACTCATAAAAATAAATACACAATTTTCAAATTGGTTTAGCTGCTGACAAAGTAAATAACCATTTATTTATTAAGTATACAGTAGCTAGAGAAAGTTCTACCAACTAACCAACTTCCTTAAACCAACTTCCTTATCGTGATAATGCATAGGTTGAAGGAAATTTCAAGGTAGCCTAAATATTTCTCACCGGTATTTATGTAAATAGTAGTCTCAAGTAAACGATATAGTTAATATATATTCAACAAAATCCTCAATAAAACGTATGTTTTCCTACAGTTACCTGACAAAACGGGCTTCCTTGCAACTGATTATAGCACGCAAAGTACCTAATAATTGCTGCATTAACTACTTACTTTTGCCGCACTCATTACAGTCAGATAACACTAAGATACATTATACTTTTGACTGCTGCTTGCTATCTTGTATTATATTATAATGAAAAGCATGCCGTAAAATCTATTCAAAAATAGGAAATAAACCTGTTGTTATTTAGCACAATTGTGGGTAACCAAATTTAAACTTTTCAAAGAAGCTTCACATTTTAGAAAAAGATGATAAGACTTCGCATTAATTTTTTGAATGTTTGGGGTGTAATCAGTAAAATTATTCGATTTTTCCCCGATGAATACTGTAATATCAGTTCGTTTAAATAAAATGACTTCTATCTAGGGAATGCAAGACCATTTTTTATAGATAAGAACTTTGCTAACCAAACATTTGTTATAAATTTGTTCTGTTCGTCTTTTCCAATAGTTCACACTGTTTTTTAGTGTTTTAAAATCTTTACACCATGCATCTGTCCATACCGTCATCAATATCCATAATATAAAAATAAGCGAAGGTTTAAAGGTTGAGATTCGGGTTGGGTTGTGTTAGAGGTAATTGCGGATCCTTTCCATCACTGTTAGTAAAAAACAAACATTCACGACGTATCAGGATATGAAATCTGATTCTATCCTCAGGTGAGTTAGTACCTAAATTCACCGACAAAGTAACAAGAAAAGAAAAGAAAAATAACAAAATGTTCAATCATAGCAATATTTATTCTAACCCAACCTAAAATTGTTTGGGTTTGTGGATACCCTGGTATTCGAGCTTCGATTCTACTGGTACTAGAACGTTCTTGGTCGAGTTTAGTTCCACAGAGAACCTATACATTATCGGATAAATATGGGTTCGGTACAAATATCGATTAACCTATTTGATCCTTTTCCGTTATTTTTACTACCACGACTTCTTTCTTGCAATTTCGTTTATTTACTACCAGAGTTTTTTTCATAATCGGTTTGGTTGGTTAGTTTAGTTTAGAATAGTTTCATTTTATAATTGACATATTCATAGACTATGCTAACTGTTAAAAATATCGGAATTGGGTGAAGCAATTTTCGATTCAATTTATACCGATACTACATTATAGTTTGTTATTACTGTTTTACTCACTGCCAGCTTCACCCATTACTTGCTGCACCAGCCTCCGTCGGTCTTCCTGAATTTTTGGCTCTGCATTTTTGACGATTGCTTGCTCAATGCACCAAAGCCCAGTAGCAACTAAGATAAACCTAAGAACTTCAACTTTTAAAAAGGGAGCTAATAGATTTAACCAAGCCATGATACAATTTTTGTGTTTAGGTAAGTAAATAAAAATAACAAAACTAAATAGAGTCATATGTTTTTCTGGCTTTTTTTGTACACGGTCCCTCGGAAATACTTTTTATTTTGGTTTCCAATAATTTTAGTGTTATTGTGTTATTTATTCAAAGGTGTTGTTTAATGTGAGGTTAATTAAGAATGATTTATGGATGAAAGTACCTTTGGAATTATGTCAGACGTAGTGAGCGGCAAGGAAGCGCCGCCGGGTCGAGTTGCGATGGTAGGTAATAGAATGTCCTCAATACGAAGGCACAACACTTGACACTATCTTCTTGTGTTGGTGTCTATCTTGATGCCAGAATAACGCACGTCTGAAGTTCATAAGGTCCAAAATGAGCGCTCACAAGAAGTTCCTACGCGACCGCGGTAGACCGGAATGGGAGGATTCACTGCTAAAACTGACTTTACACTGGTTAATAAAATTAATTTAATTTAAAGAGGTGAAAATGTTATGAGTACTGTCTAAACGGGCCACGGACTAATCCGAGTGGCAATAATAGAGAATTAAACTATGAGAGGGAAAGCCGCAATGACAGAGAAAATTAATTATGTCAAAGTGACATGTGTTAGGTAAACCCGGCAACCGACAGACTGGCCAAGCGTCCCGATGCGACGCTAAAACTTCGCAAAAATATCCTTCCGCCAAGTTAACCAATGGGCATTGTGCTGACCCCACTAGGTTCAATTGAAAACCCCTACTCTCTCTCTGTCGGCGGCAAATACAAATGCATACATTATATACAGTACAAGAAATAAAAACATTTTCCTGAAAACTTACTTAACAGGTGTTATGTAGTCCGACTCCTTATTTTAATGTAGAACTGGATCATTTTTTTAGGTCAAAGGACGTTTGGTAGGTAGGATCATAGATAGATAAAACATGGTAGGATTAATCTACCATGAGCTAGATACAACTGGAGATACCACTGAATGAAAGAATTGTGGTACGATGGCATCCATTTGAAATATGGGATAAAGTACATTGTACTTAGTTCATTGGATCGAGGGTAATGGGAGATCGTTTGTCTGTAATAAAGCTATGAGCCAATAAAGTTTTTCATCCCTAGTGTGTACCAACCAAACACAATTTTACAACAGAGTTACCGTGTTAGTGTGACCTCCAGTTGACTTGCTCAGTGATTAAATCCAATGGAATATTAGCAACAACAGGGGACTTTTAGATCTTGACAGATTCCCTTTCAAGCCTACAAGCTGCTGGACTGTTAGTAAGCTAGGTGTTCGATTGCAAAGGGCTGATCTACAAGCAGTTTGTGAATTAGCCGACTCGCGAGTTGATTGTAAACATTCCCCAATCAAGCCTTTAAAGGCCTTTTGGGAGAGGAATATGATTCTCTTCATCTTATCAAGAAAAAACGTGACATGTTGCTAACTTTAGATTCTTCCATTGGTGTTAGTATAATGACGTAGATCAAGGCTATATGGACCAGTGAAAAATTTTTTTCGAAAAGAACATAGATGTGTGTTCTACACACGGAATGTGTTATAGTATAACATTTTTTTCAGTTGTTTCTGAGGTATTTGGTGGCAAAATATGCTGTAACACACAACACGTAATCCGTACCTCCGTACGTAATCCGTTTATCTTTAATACTTTTTTTTACTTTTCGACGAAATGGCGACCATACAAAGTAGGTATTTTAAGTCAAGTATGAATGGAGATGAGTGTAGGATGAGTGGCGCGATCTTGTAGTCTTTTTAGTGACTACGGTTGCCGGATCGATCCTGAGGAAAGTCCATAGCTTATTGATGGTTCGAAACTCGACCCAGCTGTCCTTGATCATTTGACTTTTAAATGGTCCTGATTGATGGAACAGCTGGTCTTACTCAGTAGACTGCCAAAGGTACACATCACACTCCTTTCTACACTCATCCTCCACGCATATTTGGGTTACGCACCTAGGTGGGATCCCCATCTCAAATAATAATGATGATTGATGCCACAGGCAGTGGTGCTACTCGGGGTTGAGGCACAAACGAAGACAGCCCGTCAAGAGGCCAGTGGGGCGGCGCCCAGTGAGGATGTTCTGGATATCAGAGAGGACGGTGGTTATGGTTTCCGCTACCAGGCGAGGGATCAAGGAGGCCACTACGGGGAGGGGGCGGCGTCACCGGACAACACCGTCACTGGCAAGTAGGTGCACGCTTGCTTTATGGTAGTTGAATTTGTCGTACGAGTTTGTAAGTCCGATGTTATGTGGTGTGCCATTGGTCATATGATATGACCGTTGGAATGATTCTGCCTCTTTCAACATGCTTTTAACTGACCACGCGGTTGGTACAGATTATCACCATGGAATCTAATATTATAGTCTGTATGATGTGACATGTATCCTAACCTTCCAAATAGCTGGAACCGGACCGGGCCTAACATCAATGGCCAGTTCCAGGTAGATATAAAATCAGGAGTCACGTTCCGTCATACAGACTATACATCTTAAATTACCAAAGGGTCATTGACAATTACTTGATGCAAACTTAAAATCTTACAAAGATCACCTAGGAGAGTTACTTGTTCGGATTCCATATCGAATGTAGTTGTTCCACTGTGGCCCATGTTTCATTGCGGCTTCCTTTCATAGGTTCTCACTTTAAAATGAGTTGACTATGAAACAAGCGTTAGAGAGACACTGCTGGACCTAATTTAGGACTATTAAACTTAGAGACCAAGAGTCCTAAATTAGGCTCAGCTGTGTCTCCGCCCAACAGAATCTGGAATCTCACGATGACAAACATATTACTAGAGACGGCTATGCAAACACCCATTATAACGCCCGTTTTCTACATCAACTATCTTCCTTACTTTACATTAATGCGTTGAGCATTGCAGTCATTCAGCGTACAGGCGCCAAACCTTGAAGCTCCGATCTATAGTCTTCGCCACTTAACTAAAGTCGTTCACAAGCCTACCGTCTTCGCCACTTAACTAAAGTTAAGTGACGAAGACTATAGATCGGAGCTTCAAGGTTTGGCGCCTGTACGCTGAATGACTGCAATCCATGGCCGAATGGCTTGACCTGCACGACCATTTTACAATCATATTAGCGACGCTTCCATGAACGCCTGTTCAATGTTAACATTAATAAAATAATAATCTGCGTTTTTTGTAATGACATTGAATATTTCTGTTTTCGTCCCATCAAAAACCGACATTGTTTACGGTCTACTTAAGTTACTAGTTACTGGATATTTTTATAATAGCTCAAAAACTGTAAAAATTGTCTTTTTTAGATGGAATGTTTGTTAAATCAATGAGTAAATTAGTACATCAGATTATAACTTTATTATTGTTATATTGAACTAGGGCGTCAACGGAAGCGTCGGAAAGCGTCGCTAATAGGATCGTAAAAGGTTCGTGCGGGACCAGCCGGTAATGGCCCTGCAGGTCAGTTTAGGCTGCCTCACACTCAAGTTAAGGTGGCGAGGACTAGAGTGGAGTGTTGTGTTAAAATTTTGATTCTGTGGCAGCCCTAGAGATTGCGGGGCCCAAGGCAAAGTTCAATTCTCTTAATATGTGAAATTCAGTGGTGCGGGGAACTTGGAAAGCGCGGGGGCCCATGTAACGCCTTGTTCGCCTTTACGTAAGGCCGCCTTTGATTTGAGTTGAAATAGTGAGTGACCAAATAAATTTCATGTAGTTGCAAATAGATTCTCCAACCATCCTCTGGGTCAATGATTGTGTTGTTCACCTTTACAGCTATTTCTCACATGATGGGATGTAACTTGATTTGATGGGATTGATTGATTTGATTTGATTTGATTTGAACTTTGATAACTTGGTGTCTTAAAGTTAGGTCTAGTAAATTTAGATTGTTTTATCACAACAATCGAGGTCTGTATTGTTATACTTTGCAGTAGCTTGTAAGTATACGTTAGTTAATGTACTAATTGCTCATCTGATAGGTTCGGATACCGTGACCCAGGCTCTGGAGTGAACGTAGAGACTCGCTACACAGCAGGAGAGAGGGGCTTCCGAGCACAGGGACCTCTGGTGCATAGACGCATGGACCTATCCCAGGTAGTGATAGAATTACATTTTGAAATCTGTACTGCAATAGTAATAGACCATACAAATTAACACGTTCATTCAAAACAGGACAAGCGTCTTAAGATAAAAAGGTAAAAGATAGGCTATTAAGATATTGAAAAGTCGTTTGATTTTTTGATGGTCACATTGTGCTCGCCTAACAATCAAAAGGTTGCAGTATATTGGTTTAAATCCTGAGAAAAGTCAGTCAGTAGCTTTTTTTTAGCCAATTTCCCATCTACGGAATAAGGTATTACCGTAGTACTCATGGTAAGACCTGGACCCGGGACCGATTTACTTTTTCGTTTTGAGGTCCCTATAGAGACCAAAAACACCATCCGTTCAAATTCCTAACCTACATTTATTCAAACGAGTTCGCAAACCAGCATGATCGGACTTTGGGAACGGGGGTTTATGGGGGGTTTTATGGGGTAAAAATAGGTTTTTCCCCTTTTTGACCCTAAAAACATAAAATTTCACAATTTCTTTCCAATCGATTTTGTAGAGCTTAAAAATCAAATAATTTAGTATATTGAAGCGTTATTATGCGCCTAATGGTTATGAAGAAAATTCCAAAAAATTGTAAAATTAAAATTCCCATGTTATTCTTATGGAGAATAAGTCAACTGTTATAGTTTGTTTGTTTATGAACATATTTTTATCAAATTTGGAAAATTCATTCATTTCTTACTGAAGTACAGTAGCCATTATTACCATTTTACAACAAAAAAACAATTTTTATCCTCCCTGTTGCAGCAAACCTAAGTATGCGTTAAACTAATTATATTTAAATAGGGAATAAATGTGATAATTTTAAGGAGGCATTTGAGTATAAATCCAATCAGGTGAATGGAAATGGTCTGCAGGTTTGCTGCGGCGGGGGTATTTGATGATTCAAACTGGACCCAGCTGTCTCTGATCAAGCGATCATTGGGCTTTAAATAATATGCACCTAGGTGGTGTCCCCATCTCATGTGAGATACAATTAATAAAGATATTTGACAAAAATTTAACCTGAAGGTCATGTTGGGCACCCCTATTTCGATGTAGAAGGGTATTTCCAGCCAGTCTGTAGTTAGTACTCTAAAGCTGGTTCAATTTGTCTCTTGTTTAGGGTGCTCATTAACTACTTATGGTATGCAGCTCCTTTATTTGTTTTCTTTCTGTGAGTCTTCGCATATGGATTGGAGGGTGTAACCTGATGGATGTCTAGTGTTGTAATGGTGCAAGTCCCTATGTTCCTGAGTTCCTCTGGTTTTCTGATAGGATATTGCATGAAGGAATGGTTTGACAGATGTGGAATGATATCTTTGTGTATTTTTTTTATGATTAAGAGCAGCCGTTAAAAATGGCCAAGAACAGCTGGGTACAGCTTTGAAACATCAAAAAATTATTGATGTTTCTCCTATATATTTATTCAATATCTAATTTTTAGTGGTAAAACACAGGACTTCGGTCCCTGAGGTCCTGTGCTCAAGTCTCACAAAATCACCAATGGATTTTATCTAAGTGATTATGCCGCAACCACTAGTCTGAAGTTATGTCCCAAGCTAGATTCTATAGTGTCCTAGGACAAAAAAATTGTTAGAAAAACACTACTCGTATAACCAGTTAACCTCTCAGTACATATTCAACATCTACCAATTTATGTTACAACATTGCTGTTTAAAGCCTATGTCTTTCAGGGAAGAAAAACTGAATGAAATAGTTATCAAAATAAAATCAGTTGAGGAGGACAATAGCAGTTATGGAAGCTAAGCAAAAAATTTACCCCTAGTCATATAACTTTTGGTTACATCAAGGACCAAGGAAGAGGATACCTAATCTTGTTTGTAATGTTTTCAGATAAAGCTACCCTACAATCCGCCGGTCCCTCCAGACTCCCCCGACTACAATCCATCGTACTCCACATACCACGACCCCAACGAGGACTCTAGCTATCACTTTGACTTTGCCACTCAGGAGTACAAACGTACTGAGACAGGAGGACCACGTGGAGAGGTCAGTACAAACGTACAACTTCTACAAACATCAAACAATCTTTTTAGCTTTAAAATGGGAAGTACATAATTCATTTTAGAAAGCTGTAATTAAGTTATTAACTGATTAAATATAGATAAGATCGTATGATTTTTATCTAAACAAATGTTAAGGAGCAGGAAGGAATATACAAATTATTAATGATATTAGTATGATAAATTAATGATAAGGTATAAAATATATTGTGAAGGTAGCCTTTATTCCTTAGAAAATCTATTTACTCATTTTTCACTCTTTACTCACTCTGATTTCTCTGAATATTTAGGCTAGTGTTTGATTAAAGAAACACTACCCTAAAGTAGATGGGCAATTCCATTAAAATTTTAGAGATTTTATTATAAAACTTATTTTTTCAATTGAGCCAAAAGGGTGATGTAAAATGCCATTTTCTTGTTTTTATGCTATATTTTAATCACACCAATCTAAATGGATAACTTATTGTTAACTATTGTTCTTATGTTCTTATCAACTAATAAAGTACAAATAACTAAGATGTAAACAGAATAGTAAGTAGCACACTTTAATTTTTGTTCATTTTAGTAAAAAAACCTTTCAATTTCAATTGCTGGTCTATAAAGATGGAATGTCTACTCCATTATCCAAAGTCAATCGTTTAGCTCAATTAACACATTAAATTGGTAAATTTGCTACCAGGTAGCAGGAGCCTACTCCTATGTGGACGATGTCGGAGACATTCACAATGTGGAGTTTGAAGCAGACTCTCAGAGAGGTTTCCACGTCAAGACTCCATACCCAGACTCCAACCACAACTATAACGAACTGTACTTCCGAGGAGACGGTCGAGTACCACTGAGGGGTCGCACATCTATACAACGAGGTCTTGACGGAAGTTACAAGTTCACAACACACAGTCAAGACCAGAGAAGATCAGAAGTAAAAGACGCCCTGGGGAACACCAAAGGTTCATACACTTACATCGACAAAGATGGAACACAAAGGTCTGTACAGTACGTAGCCGGGCCGAATATTGGGTACAAAATAATCAATCAAGGATTAGGAGCAAGTCTGGACCCAGTGTTTCCCTATATACATCAAAACTACATCCCATCTAATTTACAAGGTGCAGGGAGCAAGCCGGGGTTTGGTTCTGGAGGCCCTTCTTTGTTTGGGGATGGCTCTGGAGGTACTAAACCGTTTAAAGGTCCTACTACAACACCTTTTGGTTTTGATAGTACACCTTCAACGGTAGGACCACTACCACCCTCTGGGGGGTACGGGCAAGGCTCTTATGGGAGTGGAGGAGGAAATAAAGGAGTAGGGAGTGGAGGGGGAAGTTTTGGAGGAGTGGGAGGAGGAAGCGGAGGGGGGAGTTTTGGAGCAGGAGGTAGTGGAGGAGGAGGAGGTACTGGTGGTTTTGGAGACAAAGGAGGAACTTTTGGATCTGGAGCTATAGGAGGCTCACTAGGGGGAGGTGGAGGATCATACGGAAGTGGTGGATCCGTGTACAGACCTGCTGCTGGACCTTGTTGTGCTGCCAGCACTGACAAAGGACCTAGACCATCACCAACTCCTAGGCCGGAGTCACCCCCTAAAGGTCCTGGGAAAGATGAAGAGCCCCCTTATCCTCCAAGTGGAGAAAAACCTCTCAACGGACTCAAAGACCCTCTTTTCACAACAAGTGATAAAAAACCGATAGCCTCTCCAGGCAAACCATCCAAACCCTCGTCCAACGATGATTTTCTCTCCCCCACATCAGGGTATCCGCCTCCTCCACACGCCGGGTTCCCAGAAGAAGACCCGAAAGCCAAAAAACAGAACAATCCTAACTTCAAACCATTTACGGTCGAAGACAATCTTTTTCTACAAAGGCCATTTTCTTCTTTACCTCCTGCAGGAAGAGAATCCAAATTCAACACAGATCGCTCTGATGACTTTGGTACCGAAAGTTCCATCACAAGCCGTCCTGAGTATGTTGATGATTTTGACAGAGACGGAGCTTATTCCGAAGACGAGTTTACAGGTTTTCCTCCTGGAGTCTCTGTCAAAGGAAGAATTCAATCTTTGGATATAAATCCGTTTGGGAATAAAGTTCCAGCTCCAGGCGAAGCTTTAGAGTTCAATATTGGAGATGAGGAAAGAAGGGGTTCTTATAACTAGAATTTGTATGCAAATTCTTATTTTTAGGTTGTTATGTTACAATCTACGCTTGAATCACAAACATAATCTCTATTTCAAAAATGTATCCACAACTTTAATAATATGTGTTTACACAAAAATTGGGCTCTTTCGTTACTAGTTTGACTAATGACTAGCAAACAAATGAACATAATATTTACACAGAATAGTTATTAATTACATCAAGGAATGGTATATATATATAGTTCATCACTCAAATAATGTGCTTTTTAGAATGTTAAGAAACAAAAGCCTTGTTCAACAATTATTTTCTTAGTCTTCTTTTAAGTAGTTACCATAGGGATTAGAAGAATTCAGTTTGTTTACTAATATTTTATATACAGTTTGTATTAGTTACCGGTACTCTCATTGTATTGTTTGTTTCTTGTATTACATTGTTGTTCCTATAACCGATTTACCTTTTTGAACTTCAAACTAGAGTTATACAATCTTTATTTTGTTTAATTGCTGACTTACCTGAAAATTACAACAATCTAACAACGAGTTTTTATATTGTTTTATTATGAATTATGAATTTATGATTTAAGCCAAAGAAATAATACTTTGATGTAAATATTGTACAAACTCATTAAACGTGTGCTATGTGTGAATGTTATCATTAGCAATAAGGTTGAGACACTTCTAAGTGAATGTAAATAATGTTACCAAATAAATAAATTTTAATATTTTTTTTTTTCATACCTTTTCAACATTTTTTCCCCATAAAAGACACTTCTAATTACTAGTCTTATCAAGGATAAAAATGTAGCAGGACATGAAGATTTTGATCCCAAAAATGTGGTTCGGATTCCACTATAAACTGAAGGTCCCTTAGTTGCCATCAGCTGTATGGGCTATGAATTAACAGCTGTTTTTAAGGAATATCTCGGCTTTAGTCACTAACAAGACTACAAGATCGCGCCACTCATCCTGCACTCATATTTGGGTTAAAATAAGCAAATAGTGGCGTCTCCATCTTAAATAATTGATTGATTGATTGAGTGACAACATTATTATTCACCATGGAATATATTATTTTTCAAATTAATTTTCATTTAATTTATTTGTTCATTTGTTTGTGTGTTTTTTGGGGACGTGTTCACAAACACACAAGCCATACTCATAACCAAGAAATGTACATTCAGAGGCGTACCCAGGGGGGGGGGGAGGGCAGGGGGCCTGGGCCTCCTCAGATTTAAAAAAACATACATTTTATTTTGGAACCCCCCCCCCCCAAACCAGTCAGTTGGTCCCTCAAACTCTATCCGTGTGTAACCTCCTGTGTTTATTGTTATAATTGTACTAAGAATATTTATTTCACTAAGTTTCAAAGTTGCTTACTGGAAAATAATACTACCTACAAATTACTTTTTATTATGATTTAAATTTACATCAATAATATAAAATTGCGTAAAATCATAATTTACCATGCAGTTTCTTTCATTGGGAAGAAATGTGTTCAAACAATATCAATCAGTTGAAGTTCTAAATACTTAGTGACTGGACTCAAGTTCTTAGAAATTCCAACTTCCTAATGGTCGGTCAATGAACTTAGTGTGGACTCGTGTTATAGGTAGTGAGTGACTCCTAATCATTTTGAAACTTAAACTTTTGACTATTGATTCAACTAGACATTCCCTCTCCACATTAAAGTTGATACAATTTTTTCAATCAAAATGGTCATAGTTTATGTCAGGGAGGCAACTTGGGCTGATTTCAATTACTGGTTTCTGACGAATACACAAATTCTTTTACCAAGTCAAACTGTGCATGGTACTTATGGACAACTATAGTAACTGTTGGGACCTATGTCAGCAAAAAAATATATAACGGTAGAAAATAAAATTTTAAACACTACAACATTCAGTAACTGGCTCAACTATGTTTTTTGGTAAAACATTGTGAAAGCTGGGCCATATAAATGGGATGACTACTTCAGAGTCTTAAAGCAATCTAAAGTCAATGCTAAAGCCCAAAGTTACAGCTGGGTCCAGCTTACTAGGATCGAACTAGGCCCCCAGTTTAGTAATTAGGTGGGCAATATAACCACTCAGATATCCAGCTTATTAATTTATGAAAGCCTATTTATTTTTACTACCAAGCAGATGTAGTAATCTTGATGTCATCTCAAATTTGAGGAGTACTCGGACAGTATCCAATTTTCTGCTTAAGTCACCTACTGACTCACCTCACCTATAACTTCCAATTATCAAGAGCAAATAGTGATGTCATCACTCCTGTTAGACATATGATGTCATACTTTGGCTTCAGTGAGACTGTGGCATGGGCATCTACAGGGGGGGGATTAAAAAAATCATCTAAGCTTTCTATAATGTTACACATCACAATGAGTCAAATAGCTGTCTAATTTATGTATACTCATAATTTTATAAAGGTGTATTATAACTAGTTAACTACAAAATATCAAGCGAAAAAAAAACCAAACAAAAAATTATTAATAATTAAATTTTGTTTAGAAGATTGCCTAGTAGAAGCTTGTCCAATCATCACTTTAGTGACTAGTGTCTATTGTTAACATATAGGGAAACAGTAATACACAAAAATTAGAAGTTATGGGAAAATATGGTTGTATTAGCAATGGGTATAATCATAGACAAATAGAATTAACTATAAACCGACAGCAGTGCTGCGGTTAGCATAAGTTCTCGCGTCCACCGGTTTTATTACGCTTATTAAAAATAAGCGTAATATAATTATCACAAACGCTTATTTTTTTATTATTCTAATTGATAACATTTCCCTCCACACATTTTTCACAATCAAAGAATTACTAGGATTTCCTACTGTAATTTTCTAATCAAATCAAATCTTTATTGATCATTAAATAAAATGTGTTACAACAGATTTTGTCAAATTATAAGGTAATCTCCATAAAAATAGCTCAAAAACATGACTAGACCTAAAGCATGAATGGCATTAAACAATATATTCAAATGTTTCCTATAAATAAATAATCAGTTCAACAACAAGGCAAGGAATTGGTAACTAAGTTAACTATAAATAAATAAATACTGGTGTATTTAAACTAGCGGGTTCTTAAATTTATTTATTACATTTTTATTTATAGTGGTCGAGTAGTACAAAATCAAACTAAACCCCTTGGAACACTGCATAAAATAACCGAAACAGTGGTATCAACCTGTCCTTGATCTTCCCATTTGACCTTGAGTATCACATATAGTTGACACTGCCTCAGCCATTGTCATCAAACACCTTCCTACCTCCACACTAACAGCATGGGTAGGCATACTACAGCCCTCTCATTGGTGAGTTAAAAATATATATTTTTATTTTGAAATTAATTTTAAGTACAGTACTGCATATTGGTTTTGAAAAGTAGAAATTGTTTATAAAAAACTGATGTTATTTTTTCTGCATTTAAAAAGTATTTAGTATCTAAATTTCGTGTTTCTATTTATTTCTGAAACGTAGTCTATTCAGAGAAATAATCAATTGTAGTTCAAGAACGGTTTATTTATTTTTTAACAGTAACAATATTATTTCGTAAAATGTAAATGGATACCCCTAAAATCCCAATCATATACTATGGTTTAATTGTTTGCATGGTTCTAATTTCCTTAGTCAATGGTTCTATGTTGAACCTGTGGTTGAACAAACCAATACAGATGTCACAAAAACAAAATTTAAAATGTTTAACACTTGCACTGTAGTTGCAGAATCCAAACAAATAATTCAAAACCAGTAATGTCTTATTCTTATCTAAGATTTAACTGGCAAAATGTTTTTTTTCTAGATTACCCTAACTAAAAATTAATTTTATTTATTTGCAATAGTTGTTAATTTAATTTTTTTAAAGTAGGCTAATAAACAGTGGGAGTATGTAAACAGTGTGAGTTAACTGTGACAGAGCAGGTAAAAATAACCATTTCGAGTGTTTTGTTTAGGGATAGGAACAAAATATCTGGCTAAGCTCGGTCACAACTAATGGAGAACTTTATTTTTTCATATTTGTAAAGCTGCTATTATTTTTCAGCACTCGGTATACGAAAATAGCTGATTTACAAACAGCTAAGCTTTACGAAAATAGTTGATCTCCCATCTACTACATATGACTTAACATGTTTCAAAAACTATTATCTGTCCAGCTGTCCAAAACAGAGGTTTTACAATAACTTTACAAAATTAGAGATTGTATAATTTGTTCTAGTTAAAAACCTCATACACACTAAGTTTTAATCAAAATCATTCAACCAGATCATTAGATTTTTCCGTTATTTTATTTTTTCTATAGAAAAATTACCATTAATTAAAACAAATTTCAGAGAAATGAAAAAGACGCCTGGAGATATCAATACCGTAGTCTTCACTGTGCCATCTAAATGACCTTTGTATCTATTTGATTTTTTTGTCTATGCCTTATTTGTTATGTACTGTAATTTATCTTTGACTTGTGTTTTTGCAGCATGTATTCAACTTTTTTGACGTATCCTAATGCATGTACATGTCTAATGGAATAAAATATTGATTCTGATTCTGAATGGATTTTATGGTACATAGTACCCATGTTCCAAATTTAAACAAAATCGGACGTCAGGTGCAGTCTGTAGCTCTATATTAAAATACGGTTTCCAACTATATTTTTTCTCATTGGGTAGCCAACAATTAAAACAGCTGATTACGGAAAGTAAATAAAGCGTCTTTGAGTCGAAAATGTGAATGACAAGAAACTGAATGACTTACGGAATTTAACTTATTGCCAGGAACTTCTGGTAACCAACAGGATAAGTAGGGACGCCATCGAGATTATTTTCATTTGACGATTGTGTCTGATAATTAGAGTGACCAACAGTATAGGTGGATGACTTAAGGGGTTTTAAAATGTTAAACATAAAATTTTAATTTGTCTTTGGTCCAGGAATGATTCCTCAAAAGGTTGGTAGAGTGTCCAAGGATGTTGACATCTCATCTACCTTTGAGTAAATTTCCCCCAGTTTTCTGCATTCATCCAAAACAAACACACAGACCCCACTTCTTCTGTAAAATATTTTATTTGTACCATAGTTATTACACTTTAAAGTGAACCGAACACAATACAGTATTTGTTTGATGAAATTCAAGGGTGATTTAAACTAAAACAAAAGTGTTAAACATGGGTGTGTCGTAGGTCAGCAAACTGTCATTAAATTCCCATTCTCAGCTTTAGCCTTGAAGAGGTGATAAGTCTAAGTGTCATCACTGACTCAGAAATATTTTGCACAACAATTAATATTTTTTTAGGATTAATCAGCAGTCTTCTAATTGAAAGGTTACGTATTACCTTTGACTATTAATACAACTTGCCCAACAGGAGGCCTTCATAATACAGCGTCCTGAATACATATTTTAATTTCTTACATTTTTAAGTTCAAGCCACAAAATGCCTTGTAAACCATAAAATTGTTGCTAGCATCTTAAGTAGGCTTCACTACTAGGGATTTTGGAAACCTGGGTAAAATCAGTTAATGAGCATTTGCAATGTTATTTTTTGTGTTAGTTTTCACCTAATATTAGTTTTCTCATGTTTGAATTTTATTTTCACTGTTCGTGAAATCAGTTCAAGGGAATTACCCAAAGTCAAAGGATCTATTACTAATGTAAAAATATTGTAATATTTATACTTGAGTCATAAGGTTATTGGCAGAATCTTTCAAAGGTAAAACTCATGTTATGAAGGTTACTAATACAACATGCCATCTGATTAAATATTTCTGTTCTAAGTAATCTAAAATGTTTAAACCTTTAGGCTTTTTAATTCAACAACCCAAATGGTATTGGTTAGTTAAAAAAGGACCAACTAAATATGTAAGTAAATAAACGATACCAGCAAACTGACACATACTTTCTCCCATTAGCTTGTCAAAAATCCATATAATGGGCAAGCGGTGAAAGCAACTATGATATTCTATGGTGAAAGTCACCAAAGTTGCAATAACTTTAAAACGTTAATTTTTATAGGAATAGGGAATGCACTATTTTTTGGGAGTTACAAGGACCATAAAATACTAAATTTTTATCAAAATTGTTCAAGTTATTTTTGTTAAAGCCTATTTTCTATGTTATGGATTTTTGTAAGAAACTCCTCATTGAAAAGCTAAATTTCAAAAAAGTTTTAATAAAACGCCTGGAGATAGTCTGTAGCTCTGTATGCATCCACATACTATGAAATTCATAATAGGAAAACATTTTACTCCTCTGAGGAATTTTACAATTTAAAATATTGTGAATAGGCTACAAGTTACGTTTCTCACTAACTCTATTTATCTGTATACTTGTACATTTATGTTGGTTTGATTTCACACACACACAAAGGTATTACTTCAAACGCAGAGGATACGCGTCCGGTAACCGGACGTGGATTAGACGTCCGGCAGTTACTGTCATAACCTAACCTAACCAACCAAACTTGCTGATAATTAAAAAATCAAATGAAGGTTCAATTCTTTATAACATAAAATTATAAATGCCAAAAATTCTAACAAAAGATGTACAGTTAAGAAGAAATTACATTCAAAGCAAAATCTGTGACAAAAGTTAAAGAAACCGATGGGTTTCGAACCAGGGACCTCTAGGATATCAGCCGAGCACTCTATCCACTACACCACGAACAAGGCTGACCGAACACCGTATCGTTGTGGTAATGGCGTTCCGGGACCCCGCAACCCGGTGACGTCACTACCGGACGCCTAATCCACGTCTGGTTACCGGACGCGTATCCTCTGTGTACTTCAAAACCCATTTATGGGTTCAGGGGGGCCTAAAACTCAACTAGAAAATATGAACAAAAAACGTATTTTTTCATATGAGTTACTGAGTACATAGGGAGAGAAAGTAAAAATTTAAACATTTAAAACCTTTCCACTCTCATTTTAGGGCCCACCCCGTGCCCTAGGTTTAATTTATTATTCAGGTAATAGAATGTAGATAATGATGTAATAAAAATGAGAATAATTACCTGAACAGAATAAGGCTTTCATTCACTAAAGAATCACACTTGAAACATGTTAGGAGTTATGTACAAACATTCAATAAATAAACAAAATAAATAACATGTGATTAACAAATTGAAACATAAAGTAAAGAAGGAAAGGCAGAGTATAGTTATTTGTGCAACTAGTAAACAAAGGGAGCAATCGACTCACTCGAGAGAAATACTTACTCGAGCCGTAGGCGAGTGAGGAATGGTTTCTCAAAGGCAATTGCACTTTGCACTCGAGTTGCACATAATATTTTTCCTACAGTTACCATAAAACAAATAAATTGGTAAAGAAACGTGACATATTTTTACACAGAAATACGAAATTTAATGATACAACAGTACAACAGCTGACCAGCTGATTTACAGCCAGGCTGCCAACGTATTTCGCGCGCATACAACCTTGTCTGCACGTTACGCGCTCAATGTTAACAATGTCAACAATGTTAACATTGTCTCACTGATGAGCGAATTGGCCACTTTTCTTTCTCAAATCAGTGAGAGAACATGTACATTGTTAGGTAACTGTAGGAAAAATATTTAACATAAGCCTACCAGTAATTGAACTTCAAATTACACTAATAATTACAAATAAAAAATTTTACTAAAAAAGAAGTAAACAAAATTTTTTTAAGCCAATATGTGATACGGTTGCGAAACGGCTGATGTCGGCTCACTGCTGACTAGAGAGTGGTAAGGGTTAAAAATAGATCTAAAGAGAATGAAAAATAAAACGGCTACTTTACGTTACCATTTGTACTTACTCAGATATTATATAACAGTGCATCTACCTTTATTAACCACTGGTGTACTCTAGTGGTTGTGGTTAACCTTGAGTTATCTTTACTTATGTTTCATCATGTGGTTGTCACACTTCTGTTTGTTTTCTTTTCACCCCTATCTTATTTAAATAGGGATAATAATTCTCACTTGTACCACAGTCTAACCAACACAAGTAGACTTCTCATCCCATTGTAAATTTTAAAGCTAGTTTTTCTTGTCTAGTTCATGTCCGGTGACACTGAACGTTAGGTAGTTGACGAAATTTTGTTTCTATCATTTTAGTGTTAATTTCATTATTTGTGCTTTACTGTTTGGTTATAACTGATGGATTAGTTTTTTAATGTTTATTATTAGATCGTTTTATTTGGTTAAATAAGGTTTTAAATTACTGAAAGAACAAGAAACTAATTGTAAACAAAACACAACCCTACACTGCACAGGACAGAACTAACAATAAAATTGGCTTCAGCTATTCCATAAGGATGAGAATTCTACTTAGGGAGTGTGTTCTATCTATGCGTGTAATACATTATTTTTGTCTTCAGTTAAGAGCCTTTCATATGTAATCTTACTATATATCCTACTAATATTATAAATGAGAAAGTTTGGATGTATGGATGTATGTTTGTGACAAGTAAACGCGAAAAATACTGGTCAGATTGGGCTGAAATTTGGTGTGATGATAGCTCACATTCCCGATTAACATATAGGCATATTCTTATTTCAAAAATCCTTTCGGGCTCCGCCCCAGTGGCTCTGGAGTTTCCCATGTTAACCTTATGAGAAATGGAATTATTGAATCTTAACAGCTGTTTCAATTAAACAAGTTGGTTCTGTTCTATGATGTTCAATAGCATTAAAGTTACAACTGTTACAAGGATTACCAACAGGGTGCAGCACTATTATTTCTTTTAAATTTATGACAACAGCTAATTTGCAACCAAAAGGTGAGTGAGCATAGCGAACGAACTTCAACCTGGAGGCGAGTTAGCGTAGCGAACGAGCGAACCTGAAGGCAAGTGAGCGCAGCGAACGAGCTCCAACCTAAAGGTGAGTGAGCGTAGCGAACGAGCTCCAACCTAAAGGTGAGTGAGCGTAGCGAACAAACTTCAACCAGGACGTGATTGAGCCATGCGAACGAGAAAATCTTGAAAATTAAGAAGTTAAACGGGGCAAAGCCCGCGGGTTACAGCTAGTAATATTATAAATGAGAAAGTTTGGATGTATGGATGTATGTTTGTGACAAGTAAACGCGAAAAATACTGGTCAGATTGGGCTGAAATTTGGTGTGATGATAGCTCACATTCCCGATTAACATATAGACGCATTCTTATCTCAAAAGGCCTTTTGGGCTCTGCCCCAGTGGCTCTGGAGTTTCCCATGTTAACCTTATGAGTAATCTATCTATATATTAATAGGCAAGCATGTTTCTTTAAAACCTTTTTTCTCAGCTCGTGTGCATCGCAGGGAAAATCTACGTATACTGTTGGAAAGATAGTTTCCTGTAGATGTGCAGAATGCCTTTAAAAATTAAAATAGGCTAACAAAGAAGAACAAAAAATGAATTTGAAAACTTCAAAAAATTAACATGGACCATATGGGTTGCCATGATGGTGACAAAATAACAACAACATGTAAACAGAAAATCAAAACAAATGGAGAAATTCCAATCATATGTTTTATTTACAGTGTGGGGAGAAAATAGAGAAGTCTGTACATTAATTATTTTTGGTCGAGTTTCGACCACAGGACGACCACTAGTTATATTTAAAAGGAATAAAATAATTTTGTCAGCTGTTTCAACTATCCAAGTTGGTTCTATGATATTGAATAGCATTAAAAAGTTACAAGGTTTACCAACAGGGTGCAGTCCTATTATTTTTTTTAGATTTATGACAACATCTATTATATAAGAAATAGTTTAAAACAAATCACTTTTCTAAATCCTCAGTTAGTGTCTGAGGAGACAGTCAATTTTTTGGGTATTCATATAAACAAAAATCTTGACTGGCTAACTGATTGACTGACATTACATACATTACATTAAGAAATTACGAAAAAAACCTTTCTTCAGCAATTTTTTCTCTCAGAACAATTTCTCAAGTCACTGACACTTAAACTCAATTAACAGTTTATCACTCATATTTTTCATCTTTAATCTCATACGGAATTCTTGTGTGGGGAAATTCTTGCCATAGTAAAAAGATTTTTAGGCTCCAAAAGAAGGCACTTAGAATTATTGCTAAAGTACCCCGAAGAAGTCCATGTAAAACCATCTTTCAGGCTTTTCAAGTTTTAACATTTTACGACCTATATATTTTAGAAGCATTATTTTGGGTTTTCAACAATTTGTCCATTTTCAGGGAGAGTCACACAAACCACAAGTATAACACTAGACAAAAGGACCTAATTAAGCCCACTAGCCATAGATTATCACTATTTGAAGCATCATCTGAATATATTGGACCGAATCAATCAAGGATTGAGAGAGAGAAGTAAAATTGTAATGATTGAACTTCAACTAATCAGCTGTTCAGGCCAATTTAGTTGTTGAGTGGTGCATTAGTGTTTGGTACAATGTTTGAGAGGTTATAATAAACAAAATCATAAACTCTCTTAGAAGTTAATGAGAAGTAATTTTTGGTAATTAAAACACTGACATAGGTAAAGTTGTGTACGCAACTCGCGTAAATAGTGTTAGCGCCACTCGTAGAAGTTTTTAAGGCTCGTACCTTAAATTTTCTACCTGTGTCGTTAACACTATCTTTACGCAATCGTTGCGTAAACTACAATTACTATGATGAAAAAGTATTTATTTACAAAATTAAACTGTTTCAGGGCCTAACCGTCTGTCTTGTAATATTCGCCAGTGTGTGTTATGCAGCTCCTCCCATAAGTCAATCAGTTTCACGAGATGGAAAATCATTGAGTCCACCAATAGGCACAGGTAGGTAACATTGCTATTAGGTTTGTTAGAAGGTACAAGTTATCGAAACATGTAAACGTCTAGTTATTTTACATAGTAGGTGAGCATTCTTAAGAGGTCTCATGGGCCTGATTTGGCATAGTGATTAGATAAAAAAATTACTTTCTACAATAGTTTTTATCAAACTTTCCACGCAACGTTGCATTGCCTTCTAACTTAGCCTGTGTACTTTTCCTTAATTTTGTTTTTGTACATTCTGTCAAACCGAACTTGGAAAGGCAAAATTTACATTCCTTGTGTAAATTAATGTAGCTTCTAAAGTTAGGCCTTACAGTTCTTGGATTATACTGATAATAGAGCTGATTTTATCAATCGCCACAATATGTTAACAGCTCATCAGTATTCCTATGATTAAAAACTGTTGCAGATTCGATTTAATGCCTGCATGTTGCATATAGTTTAAATACTCTTCAGCCAATAAACTCAACCTAACTCAGTGTTAGATCAAATATTGATCAGAAAAGTTCAACCGATTTATGTATGCTACTTACCAACAACAAATACAGTATACTCTATTGCCAAGGATATGTGCTAATTATGTCCCAGCTTCACTAGGCCTATATTAAAAAGTGATTTCTTTGTGTTTTTTATACTTTAATAGTTTAAGGTTCTTTTATTTTAATGAGAACCAAAAAGTCAAACCTTTGACTTCAGTATCTACAAGCTGCTATACCCCTGCTTTGCAACGGGAAGAAAATGTGACTTAGAGAGCTATTAAAGTAAAGTGGTGCTGATGTGTGTTTTGAAATACAGCAACTCTATGATTTAGTTTGAAAATATAAACTGATTTAAAAGCGTAAACCTACTTACTTTCAAACCCCTACTTTTTATATTAATACAGTCCACTCTTGGTAATTCAAACACTTGATAATTCAAAACTTTCGATAATTCAAAATGAAGGCTCAGTCCCTAGAGAATCTCTCAATATTTCAAATTTTTACCATGCATTTTGATACACTCGGTATTTCAAAGTCCAAATAGAGAGCAGGTCAATTTGTAACACGCAGTAATTCGAAGTTTCGTCGGAAAAACACTCTATAATTTGAAGTAACTCAGTAATTCGAAGTTTCGTCGGTTAACACTCTATAATTCGAAGTCATGCTGTAATTTGAAGTTTCGTCGAAAAAACACTCTATAAATCAAAGTCACGCAGTAATTCGAAGTTTAGTCGGCAAAACACACTATAATTCGAAGTGATCTCTTCCTGTTATAACAGGAAACTATACAGTACAGTACATCCTATTCCCATGGTAGGCTACTGTCGGGGAAAAAAGTTTAGACACTCGAGTTTGGAGCTCTACAGAATAGTAACCAAACTAACTAACAAAATCACGTAGTATATATAAATTTTCGTTGTTTTATTCTACGTATTCCTGTGAAAACAAAAAATTTTTAGCTCATTTAGGAAATTTTTTATGGCAGTCGGAAGCTAAAAACTCCCTGTTTTTAGAGTATCAAAACCAATCTTATGACTTTGAAAATTCGCACAATGTAAACTAAACGTCAGAACTTTATCAAACTTTAATACAATACATATATACATACATACATATATACATATATAATTAACTAATTTGTGAAGTTTCAGAATTTTTACTCTACCCAAAAATGTTTTTGTTGTAACTTTTGTAAATTAACTTTTACTAAAAAACGGCGAACGCTAGAAAGAAATTGAAAAGCTTGTTTTGAAGGTGATTGGTTTTGTACTTGAAATATTGATACTGCTCGATCACATTGTTACGCATATTATTTATATAAGTTAACATTTTATTTAGATAAAGCGGAGGCCGAATACGGCACTTCCAGACCGCCACCGGCTCTGACTGGGCGCAAACCCCGTACAGTGTTGCCAAATTGTACCCCTGGACACTGGGCAGCGATGGGCTACGAACTGTTGAGTCAAAACTAAACAGCAGTTATTATTATTATTAATTACTAACCATTTCCTATCACCTTTTCTAAAGAGGGCTTTGGACACCAACGGCACTCCCTCACTTCTAAAAAAAATATATAGCACTGGCAATCATTGCATATTCCGAATCTGACAATTTAGATTTAGCACCCAGTTTTAGCGATGTGACACTTACTAGCTAAAATTGAAGACAGACTGAGGTGGATTACTGATGACATATTTGGGATGGTAAAACTTTGGACCCTTTGAAAGAATGCCAAACATGATATTTCCTGTGAGTTAGTCGTCAGTGACACACACTGCGGGAATCACCTTACGCTCGGTCAAGGTCCATCGTGGCAACACTGCACTGGATTCCTGCGCGGGCGATGGCGTTTGCACCCCTTGCAGGCGCGAGATCAGCCAGTTTTTTGTTAATTTATATAAATAACATGCGTCACAACTTGGTTGAGCATTATCAATATTTCAAATACAAAACCAATCCCCTTCAAAACAAGCTTTTCAATTTTTTCCTAGCGTTTGCCATTTTTGAGAAAAAGTTAATTTACCAAAGTTACAACAAAAACTTTTTGGGTAGAGTAAAAATTCTGAAACTTCACAAATTAGTTCATTATATATGTATCTATATTGTATTGAAGTTTGATAAAGTTCTGACGTTTAGTTTACATTGTGCGAATTTTCAAAGTCATAAGATGGGTTTTGATACTCTAAAAACAGGGAGTTTTTAGCTTCCGACCGCCATAAAAAATTTCCTAAACGAGCTAAAAATTGTTGTTTTCACAGGAATACATAGAATAAAACAACAAAAATTTATATATACTACAGTACGTGTTTTTCTAAGTTAGTTTCGTTACTATTCTGTAGAGCTCCAAACTTTTTTCCCCGACAGTAGTGTTGGACGTTTTGATGTTTGTTTGTTTAGTTAGAGCAGTAGTCAGAGTTAGTTCGCTGACTTGTTTTTCTAAGTTGGCAATCCGATCTCTAGATTGCGCGACATCTCCTTGAGCACAAACGTAGTTGTCGACAGCTGATAGTTCAGCTATTGGCGAAAAATATAGCGCTAAATAACAGATTTCTTTGCAACTACAGTAACTGAAAAATAAGCCGTTGATTGGTTAAAAGTGTACTAAAATACGGTATGATGTTTTATTGTAACGTGCTGTACCTTTGTATGTATTAAACAAATGAACTCTCTGTAATTCGAATGGTTTATTTTTCTCCCGATAAATCGAACTCTTGATAATTCAAAACTCTTGATAATTCAAATTTATATGCTTGGCCCACCAATTTCAAATTATCAAGAGTCTACTGTAGATCCAAAAGAATATGACAACATACCTTAGTGTAGCAATAGCATCAATTGCTTCATATTGATGCTTCATAAATGACATGTTTTACTATAATTCTTCAATCTTATTCAAGCCTCTTTACATGTAGCTTACTATATAAATTACAAAATGAAACTTTGAGCAATACTTACTACCAAACGTATACAACCTTTCTTAAAAACCAAACATAACCCTCCTCAATCCACATAAAGCGTCACAAACATAATTTTCGAGTAAATAAACAAACACCAGTTCATTGTACTGACCAGCTGTTTCAATAACTAAATTAAATTAAATTATTTCAACTTTAGAATAAGAAGAATAAGAATAAGAATAAGAATCATTTATTCCATTGATCTTTTTACAAAGAAATAGGACACGTCATATACCGTACATTACAAAATAATCATCAAAATACAATAAATACAATCAAGTTTCTGATACATCAAAATATTATAAAAAAAAATAACAATTAATTAGACATAATAGCTTATTTTAATTAAAATTTAACATCAAAATTACACTTGATAAAGTCATTTATGCTGTAGAAAGGATTTTGAATCAGCCAATTATAAATTATATTTTTGATAATATTGTAATCAACAAATTTTGCACTGTCAGGTAGTTTATTAAAAAATCTAATTGAGTTGATTTTGAAGGAGTCACCCGTTTTAGCCAGTCTATGAGGTTTCATGCTGAGCTTGCCTCCACCCCTAGTGTTGTACTCATGAGTGTCAGATCTAAGGGGGAAAGAATGCAAGTTTGACTTGGTGTAGAGTAATACTTGAAAAATGTACAAATTTATTACTGTTGGAATTTTTAATTGTATGAAAAGAGGTTTACAATGAGCTAGGGATCTTGAATTAGAAATATTACGAATTGCCTTTTTTTGAATCGTCAAAATATCAGCTACATGAGGGGAATGTCCCCAAACTAGAATGCCATAGAGTATGTGGGACTGAAACAGACCGAAGTACGATAGTCTCAAATATTCTTGGTTAACAAATTTTTTTAATTTCCATAATAAGCAATCTACTCTTGATAACTTTTTGCAAACCGCCTCAATATGATTTGACCAACTTAATTTTGAATCAATGTGAAATCCTAAAAGCTTAACAGAATCTAGTCTAATTTCCTGCTTGAGACTCAATGTCAAATATTGTGTCTTTTCAAGATTAGAATGTAGCTCATTTGAAGAAAACCAAGCAAGAGCCTGTTCCTCAGCTTCAGCAGTGACCTGTTTCAGGTACTCTAAGTTTTTGTGACTGGCTAGTAAAGTGGTGTCATCAGCATAAATTATTGAATGGATATTGAGATTTTGAGACAAGTCATTTATGTATACTAAGAAAAAGAAAGGGCCTAAAACAGAACCCTGAGGGACACCGGTCTCTACAGGTTTCATAGCAGAACATTTGTTTTTAACTAATACATACTGTTTTCTGTCATACAAATATGATTGAATAATTTTTATTGTGCCATCTTCAATGCCATAGTATGATAGTTTACGTAGTAATACATCAAAAGGAACACTATCAAAAGCTTTACTAAGATCACATAAAACTAGCGAAACCGACTCCTTATTTTCAAATGCATTTAGTGATAAATCTGTTAAGCTAAGTACTGCCGAGGTGGTGGACTTACCAGGACGGAAACCATGCTGGCATTCAGAAAATAAATGTTGGGACTCGAAAAAATAACTAAGTTGATTGTACATTAGAGAT